GTACACTGATGGATAATTAAGGAGGAGTGTTATAAAAGGATAATTATCCATATGGATAATGGTTATCCATTTACCATTTGTTTAATAATTACTTCGTCCTTAAGAAAGAAGTGAACCAATCTTTTCTTTCCTATATATATTTGTAGAAGTGAAAAGTTAGTAGATGAAGAAGAACTCTTCTCTCTCGCATTGATATACACACACTTACATGCTTGTCTCTCTCTCATAACTCTCTCTTCCTCTCGTCCATCTTCTTAGCTAATTACTACTCTCCTTAATACAAACACATGTTATAAAATTTCACTTTATTATTATATAGTTTACAACAATACTCTTATTTTTTGCCATAGACGAGGATTTTTAGACCGAAAAATAGAAAAATAGTAAAAGAGGAGAGAGAGAGATACCGTATATCAAACAAGACAGGTTTGTTTAGGTGTTTCTGCACCATCTCATATCCAATTTTTAGATGAGAGATTTTTAATCAAAGCAAAAATCTAGATGAGATTTAAGATTATTTTTTCATAGAAAAAAATATATAGATTTCATATAAAGTTGTAATGTTCTCTGTCGACTGACGAGGCAGACGTAGCGGTGACTAGATGACTTCAAATTTTGCCGTAATCATCGAACATTAGCTTTCGATATTTGATTTGTGTACTCTTTTTTGACAAGTTTTAATTATAGATTTTTTTGGACTGGATCCACAAAATTGTAATTTTTTTTGTTGATAAATAAACTTAACATTTAAAAAAAAAGTTGTAATGTTTCTTTACGGGAAATGTACTATTTCTCCCTGGAAAGTTTCATATCGTACCAGATGAATCCATAATCTTTACCTCGTACAATTTCCTCACCATATGAAACTTACATCTCTATTTCACCCCAGAACTAAATATTAAACATGATTTCTCCACAGATTAGAAATAAAATTTCAATTTCCACCCACCTTCGTTTTATATTGGTTTACTGTTGACCGAGTTAAGGTTAACCCACTAATCTTAAAACAAAACCGATGTTAAACCGGATTACCAACCCGATTACACCCAATTACCCAGATTACGACCCAATTAAGATGGGTCATTAATTCTGACATTATGTTTTATCGACGAACAAAAATTCCCAATTCATAAAACCCCAATTTGCGAACCCTAAAATCTCTGCATTCAAAATTTCCAAAATCTAAACCCCAAATTGCGAGAATCCATAGTTGCGAGTGCTCTTCTCGGCAATGGCACTGTCATTGGCACAAACGTCCGCACCCGACGTGGATTCAGATGGAGAGGATCGA